CCAAACTTCTGGAATAAAAGGGAATCATGACATGTCACACATGTCATGTGTCCTTAAGGGGTTAAACACTTTAATTATTCCAAATTAACAAAATTATTTTAGACATTTTATTACTACAATATTTCAGCAGTTCAGTCCACAGACAAAAGCTATAAACTGAAAAAAAATGAAAAACCACAAACACAAAACCCCACAAATTTTAAAAAATATATAATACTGAATCATTGACAGAGTTTGTCACAAGATATGAATTAAAGGGATACTATAGGCATCAAAACAACTTTAGCTTAAAGGGACACTATAGTCACCTGAACAACTTAATGAGGTTGTTCAGGTGAGAACTATAGCTCCCTGCAGCCTTTCTCATGTAAACACTGTATTTCTGAGAAAATACAGTGTTTACATTGAAAGCTAGGAACACCTCCAGTTTCAGTCACTCAGTGAACTAGGAGTTGATGATGGCATAATATGCCTCCATCCACTCAGATCTGCTGTCAGCAGAGCACAGAGCAGCACTGTGCACAGCATCCTGTGATTCAGTGTCTCCTCCCTCTGCATGCAGACACTGAACTTTCCTCATAGAGATTTATTGATTCAATTCATCTCTATGAGGAGATGCTGATTGGCCAGGGCTGTGTTTGAATCATGCTGACAGTGATCTGCCTCTTTGTCAGTCTCAGCCAATCCTATGGAGAAGCACTGTGATTGGATCAGGCTACCACATGTCAGCAGACTGCTTGTTTTTCTGAGTCCAGCAGCATCCAGATTTACAGCTTCAGGCTTGAACACAGTAAGATTTTTACTATATTTATGGAGGCATGAGGGGCTAGATGGTGGTGTTAACACTATAGGGTCAGGAATACATGTTTGTGTTCCTGACCCTATAGCGATCCTTTAATGAAGCAGTTTTGGTGTAAAGATCACGCCCCTACAGTCTCACTGCTCAATTTTCTGCCATTTAGGAATTAAATCACTTTCGTTTCTGTTCATGCAGCCTAGCCACACTTCCCCTAACTCCCTTGACTCACACAGCCTGCATGAAAAAAATGGTTTAATTTTTTAATCAATTGTTAACTTACTTTAGAAGTTTTATCTCCTGCTCTGTAAATTAAACTTTAATCACACACATGGGGCCTCTAAAGGGTCCAGAAGGCTTCTAGCAGATCAGGTGATGCAAAATGCTAAATTAAACAGAATGTGCTGTAAATTATGATTTACCATAAGATCTCACTTTACAGGAAGTGTTCAGGAAGATTGTTTAAGTCACATGCAGGGAGGCATGACAAGGCCTGTATAAACAAAGTTATTTAACTCCTAAATTGCAGTGGATTGAACAGTGAGACTGCAGGGGCATGACCCAGACACCAAAACTGCTTAATTTGGCTAAAGTTGTTTTGGTGATTAAAGTGCCCTTTTAACAAGCATCCACAGAAATAGAAACAAAGCATCTGGTATGTTAAATATCTATTGAAAATAAATGTCGGAAACCTGTTACATTGTTGAGATAAGATCCTACAGGTTTCTAGAGATATATGACTACATCTAAGACTTCCTGGACAAAGTGCCATTTAAGCTATGCCTTGTGTAGAGGGATCTATTATGGTTCTTAAGTGGAATTGAATTATTGATTCACTCAGTTTCTGTTAATTAGCAACACTTACATGAAGATATTTGGGGCATTCTTTCATTTCAATCCACTTATCTTTGGATGGCGCTCTAGGTGTTCTAGCCCACACGTGCCATCGCCGTCTACTTTGTAAAGACTAGGGTAGCCAACATGTAAAGCCAGTTATAATATTGATATCCCAAAGCGTTAATTACTAAAGAGAGAATTCAAAGGGAATTCCAGAGTCCAGAGTAGCCAAACTGAAAACATGGCTGATCATTTTTCAGTTCAGCTACTTTGACCTGAAATTTGAAATGCACATTGAAATTCATTTTGAATTCTCACCTTTAGTAAATAGCAATACCAGTGATTGTTTGGTCAAAGAATGGCGAAGTCCTTTAGTTTTTCAGAAGCAGCAGGGGAGTTACTTGCCTGGTTTACACTAGCATCATCCTGGAAGTTGGTTATTTCGTATCTATCACAAATTTGTCTCAGAATATAATTAACCTCATTGTGTGTTTTCTTTTACAGTTTATGCAGATTTGCTACCCTAGGGACAGCTCTTACAAGTGAGACTAATGCCTACGCTATAAAAACACTGGTAATAGGTGAATTTTAATAGTACAGCAAACCAAAAATGTTGATATGAAGTTGACAGACAAAGATAAATGGTGTCAGGGTTATTTACTTAACTGTAAGTCGTCAGGAATAAGCTTGCAATTTTTAGGCCTAAAATAGTCAAACCATAAATTTAAAACATAAATTCTCTCAAGCTGTTTGTACAGCTCACACATCTTGAACCTAAATTTGTGAGTTCTTTCCCACTAATCTATTTTAGATAATAATGTAAATCTTCCTTGTAAGTTTAGTTTAGTAAATATGCCATCATGCCCATTCAGGCTGTGGGGCTTAGTTAGGACAACAACACCACCTACCGCCGGTCCTCTTACAGTGCCTAGGATGTATTTAATATAGGATATAGTTCTCATATTCTCTGTTTTTCTCGAAATCTAAATAGTTTTACTTCATCCTCTGGAGAATTTTCACGGTCTGGCTTACACTGATGCTGCCTATCACACATTGCCGCTATAATAAAATTTACACTTGGCAGCTAGCCATGCTCGTTACAGCTCATTTAATTATTGCTGCTTTTACTGTTACATTTATACTTTGACACTTTTCATACTGACAGTTTTCAATTTGTGAACTATGTAAAAAAAATACAAACATTTTTGGATTGTGACTGAAGCTGTAAAAGTAAACAAAAACCAAGAGATTAAATAATGTCTTTACCTTTTACTGCACTTACCTTCCTTTAAGTCTGTTTCATACATTAAAATTGTCTGGATGCATGAGGCACAGATTGCTTGGGAATTATAGGCAATCAATGCTATTAATCAAATGAATCTGCATTAATGTATGAACACCTATTTTTCTTAAACATTCCACAACACAGTATTTCCTGTGTGTTTAAATACACAAAACAGTTCATTTGATTGTATTATACTAATGGGTTTGAAAATGATGCTGTGATGGTCCATAGAAAGAAGCTTATATCACTACTGGCCTACACACTTGCATTTACTATGGTTTAAATTAAATGCACACTCCAAACACCATAATCACTACACCATACTATAGTGGTTATGGTGATAGGAGTGCCTGGCACCCATCAATGTAAAACTCAATGTAAGAAGTCAGACCATTCTTTGAACGAGGGGTACAAGGATACAACTAGAACCATAACCACTACCACATGCAGTTGTGGATATCTTTATAGTGGGTGTCTGCTTGCAGAGTGCATTTGCACTTTATATTTTTGTAGTCAAAGCTTGAAGGACTATGAATTCCACATGTTTAGGGAGCCAGTCACTGTGGTGACTGTTAGGGATGTGACATCATATACTGGCTGCCAGTGTATGATGTCATATCCCTCACAGTCAAACAGAATATGATAATGTCAGTAAGAAATTACCCAGAATTAAAGTCTCACTTCTGATGTAAGCATACCATGGATGGGGTGGGGGTGGGGATACAAAGTTGCATTATTGCTGACATGTAGGATAAGTGCATTAACTTTGACATGGGCTGATGAGATGCAGATTCAGTGGGTGAATTTGAGGATGAAGTGTTACATTTGGTTATAAGATATAACAGGGTACAGCATATGTGGATAGTGTGATAGGGAGGAATTTCATATAACAAATGGGATACAAACAAAGGGCAACCATACTCATACTCTGAGTCAGTGTGGGCCAGAAGGGTGTCAGTATTGCTTGATCACCCGGGGGATTTGATCTACACAGGGTTTTTTTTCATAAAGAGGTTCTTATTGAACAATTAGAATCCTAATTGACACTGTTTTCTGATTGACAGACAAGGGGGTGTAAACAATTAATAAATGTGTCAGTTTCTATTGAAATTTGCACTTTTTGGAAAATGATAGAGGGCACACTTTTCACACATTAAGTATTTCCATACCTCCCAAGTGTCCCTGTTAAAGGGGGATAATTCCTATTTTGAACACAAATCCCTCTGTCCCTCTTTTCTATCCTTATGTCCTGCTTTTCTAGGAATTCTATATTGTTGGTGTGTCTGTGTGTCAAACTGAGCTCCACAGCAATAATACTCTTTATTACTCAGTAATATGTCTTTAAACTGCAATAAATGTGTTTTTATGTAAATAAGATACTTTGTTCTTGTTCCAAATTCCATTTTAGTTCAATAAGTTGATATTAGTAAGTAATTGACCATTTCTCAGGACAGCTATGTCCATGGTCACCCCCCAAATCATACCCCAAATATCAAAGTGTCCCTCTTTGCTTATTTGAAATGTTGGGAGCTGTGTACTTCAGCAAACCAAAGTGATTTTGGTGTTTGGAGTGTTCCTTTAATTTATGGAACTCTGTTGGTCTGGCATATTGCATACTACTGCTATGATCCTTAGTAAAACCCATGCTGTAGTACAACAGAGTATAAATGTTACTACTTTGTTTATTCATTAAATGAAACATGGTGGAGAACTGACAAGGTAAGTGCACATAAAAGGCAAAACATTGTTGAATTCGAGAGTTCCTAATTTGGCTATTTAGCCTTAAGTTTACAGTTCCCTTCTCAAGTACTTCTTTAATGAATACACAAAGATATGCGTAGGCTTTTCATTGATTTATATCTTTATGGTAAACATTTCACTGACATTGACAAATTTCAATTGTCGTTTTTTTAGATACAATTAGAACCTTCATTGTGGGATTCTTGCTTTTTTTTTGGTCAGCAGCAAAATGATGCTGTCACTTCACGGGATATTTTATGTTTACTTATTTCCTGTCTTTAGCAATATGTTTTTTTTGAGGTGTGAAAAATTTAAATTAAAAATAGAAATCTATACCACAGTATTTACCTCTATCATGGATCTGAGTTCCTCCATCTTGGCTCCAAGTCAAACACTCTTAGAAGCTGTGGCCTTTTGTATCATTTAAAAAAAATAAAAAAAATCAGCACTTGCATCTAGCAGCACGGTGAGCATAGACAGAAACAATGGGAGATATTTATCAAAGTGTTCTGTTCTAAAAAGTGTCTAAGAGTACAAAAAAAATAGAAACAGGGCAATCACCCTGGGAACTAGTGTAATCATCAGACACATTCCATAGGACGGTATATTATTATGTTTCTCATCCTCCAAGCAATGTGTGCCCTTTCTGGACAGAACTGGTTTATGATGTCAGTTGCTGCATTTTTATTTTTTTTGGCAATCTGTTTTTTTATTAATGCATTTGTTTTGGGTGATACAGAATGAAGAAAGGGTATATGCATTGTATACAAAATAGGGATAGCATAGTTCAAATTTTTAATAAAATATAGGCATGCTAAACTTTTTGTGTAAAATACATAAAGCTTAAACATATATATTGTTTGCTAGAGGTAAACACGCTATACCGTTGTGTAATATATGGAAGGCTTGAACCAAGATTCTGTGTGCAAGAGGTAATAACACAAGGCAAGTTATTAAGTATGAGATAAACATGCTTTTTAAGTATAAGCAAAACAATAAAGCAAAACCTAACTTAGTCGAGTAATAAAGCTTACACATCCAAGCCTAGATAGCCACTACAGGTAGTCTTCCAAATTATAACATGCTGAATAGTTGTATGTTAAATGCTTCCGACTATGTAGATTGTTGCTAGGAAAGTAAGTTAAATAAACAAGAATGCTATAAAATGCTAACTAAGCCCCTAGACTGAGCTGCAGGTGGGCCTGGTGCAATGTAAAGTGTAGGAAAACCTAAGTAACGACTTAGCGGATTGACTAAATATATACATGTCCCAACAATGTGCTAGGTAGTGCTAAACTTTTGTGATTAGCTTGCAGGTCTAGGTTCCTATAGGCCTGTTAGGGGGCATAAGAGGAGAGTGGCAAGTCGGGTTGAGAGGCTAGACAAGCAAGCAAAACCACCGATCTGTCACATCATATCAGCATTGAAGCAAGCTTAAGAGTGACACCTAGAGGCATCAGCTGGGACCATTCAGGTATCGTTCCAGTGTCATACGGGGGTTCTCTGAAAAGTGCGGTAATACGCCAGTCCTGCGTGCTATCTAATTCATTTCATCCTATACCCATACAAGGTGCTTTGGCCCTGGAGGGTCCGCATTGTGACAGTAGGGGGCTGGGGGGTCCAGATGGTCATGGTGACGTGTGGACCACTGGAGTCCTCACTCCAGCCCCAGGACTGTTGGAAGGGCTGCATCTGTAGTCCACAGACTCGCTAGGCGGCTGGGTATCTCCCTTGATGTTTTGCCGTCGCCTGCTGCGGGGGGGTCCTCCAGTGTCGTGGGCGATGCTGTGGAGACTTTCTCCACATGGCCTTCAGCCTGAGTAGGCAGGCAGCTTGGGTGATGTGTGCACCAGGCCGGATTCCGCCTTAGTGAGCTGCACTCGACCCGTCATCACCAGCTTTCTTCGCCTCCTGCCCAGGTGTTGGTGGCTGTGGTGCCAGGCGCTCTTCTATCTGTTCCCAGACTTGCTGGAAGATTGCATCTAGGCATTGGAGGAAGCGCTCTATTTTCTCTCACGTGTAGGCGCCTGGCGAGGTAAGGCCTGGAGGCTAGGCCCGCCTTGTTCTGCTTGCGGGATATCGTGGGTGCAAGGAGTCGGTGTATGAGTGTGGATCTGTTTGGTGGGGACCGGGATAACCCCCGCTGGTGTGTAGGGGAGGAATGGGTGCCCTTATCAGGAATCTCCGCTGGTTGCCGCGGCGGGAGAGTGGCCATCTCTCCCGTGTTGGCCAGGCTAGTAGGACGCAGAGGCTGTCTGTATAGAACTGACCAGAGAGGCCCCATGATTGGCATCAGTATGTAGGGCGTGTTGTCCCCCAGCAACCAGTAGCCGGCCTTGGGTTGGTCTGGTCGGTATTCAATGAAAACCGCCACCGGGAGCAGGAGCTCCACCAACCAGCAACTGCTCTACTTCGAGGTCAGGCCCCGCCCTTGCTAAATTTTTTTTATTCATTTAAAGGATCACTCCAAGCACCGGGCTCAGTGAGGTGGTCATGGTGCTTGGAGTCTGTATGTGCAGTATTTCACTATGAAACACTGTACATACTGAGTTTAACCTCCCTGCTGTTCGAGGTGTAGCTCCACCTTGGGTAGAGTCAGTGGAGCAGCATTAGCCAGTTGGTGCAAGTGTCCTCTTTAGTTAATATCAATACTGGGCATATTGTATGTCTGACATCAGCATGCATAGAATGCTGGCGGCGACAGACCTCTGATGGCAGCATGCCCCCCCATCCATGCCGCCTATGTTCTCCCCTCAGCCCATTCTCCCCCCACCCTTCCCCTTCCATACTCCCACACATCCTTCCCCAGGCAGCTAGGGAGAGTGATGTCAGCAGAGAAGGATTGGGCTGAGGGGAGCAGAAACAGGGTTAAGTTTATGTTCTCATTTATATTTATTTTTTAATTTGAGTAGGTGACTGGGTTAGGAAGGATTACTCTGAAAAGTTCTGAAAATGCAGCATCACATGAAAATAGAAGTGATGATTACACTTTAAAGAAAGTGTCATTTTTGTTTTGTTTTAATGTCACTATATTATATGCCACCAAGCTTACAATTTAAAGGATAACATGTATCAAATTAGTGGCACACTTTATTGCTGGCATTACCTTTTAAAGATCTGAATCTCTGCCTTGAGGTCATTTCAAGGTGACATATGTACAGAATGTGCATGCAAGCATTAGCAGTTGAATATAGTCTGCTATTGATCTCTTCGACTGTAATAAAATATGCTTTTATCCCCGACTGCTTGGACACTTCCACCTTTTCAATAAGAAACATAAGCATCGCATGTCCAGGAAATGATGTTGTACAGCTTTTGGTAAGCACTGTGAAATAATCTTGTCCATGCACAGACTGTCAGACGTATATGAGTCAAGGCTAATGTTCTGATAAAGAGATAATTACTTGCTGGCGCGTGCCTGTATTGTGATGGAGGGAATCCAAACATAACAGTAAGACATTTACAAGGATATGGGGAATCTTATAATGAACGGCGTCCAGTGGATGGATAATTAATTCACATTGCAGATATATCTTTACAATACATTATAATATTATGTACATTAATTTGTAGCAGCACACATATGAGAATATTACATGGTGTATTCACTTAAACGTGAATTAAAAACTGAATAGCAAAATAAATGCCAATAGTTGAATTTGAAAATGTTTCCAACTCACCTGCTGTAGTTTATGTTTGGCTATGTTTATGTTTTGCATTTTTTATTTACTACAATTTTATGTTTAGTGCACAGATCCCTCTGTTTTGTCTATTTTCAATCAGTTTAAATTGATCTAATGCAGAGTATTAGAATACCAACACTGTGTAGACTGTTTCAAATGGACAGACGTAGATCTTAGAATTTAGAAGAAGGCGGGGAGAGGGATGAGAGGACACACATCAACAGCATATAATCTAATAACTAGGCTTTGATATTTCCTATCCGGTTGTCTGGCTGGGCCAGTTGTTCTCTACTGGGCGGCCTTCTGTTTACCATGTTACAGTGTAGTAATCACTTCATATCACTTTAATTCACAATCTCATATTTGTTTACATCTAAGTTGAATTACTCAATCTCCATGTGTCCCAGAGGTTCCATATTTCAATGTTTCCATGACTAATTTTGTGGAGGGAAATATAAATGTAATTCTAGTGTCGTAATTTTTCTGTATATTAATGTCAGCCAGAAGCTAATGCATAGATAGTATTGTATTGGTTTTCCACTTTCTTGCTATGAGCTTTTGAGCTGTGAGGTTAATATGTATAAGTTTTTTGTGTTTTCCAAGGGATTGATTTTGAAAGCTCCAAACGGAGATATGTTAAGGCTGTAAGGTTTATGGAGCAGTCCATGATATATTTTATTTGCGCTGTGGACCTCATCCCAGAAGATTGCCCGTGAGGGGCATTGCCACCATATATGGAGCATAGTTCCCTCTGCCCACTGGTATCTCCAACACTTGGCAGATGTGTTGTGGAAAATAGCATGCAGTTTGGTAGGCACTAGGTAGGCACTTTTTTCTGCTGTTCTAAATGTATGGATTTGCTTAAGCTTGCCGGGGCATTAACTATGGAATCCCACTGTTTGGGAGTCACTCTTCCAGTGTTTGACGGGTTTGGATCCAGAAAAGGGTATGTGGTCTGATACCATTCTGTAACACATGGAAATTGGTTTAAAGTGTTTAGACGGCACACCCTTGATACACATTCGTTCCCATTCTGTGGTCTCAGTGTGTGAGTTTGGGTAGGGTAGAGTTATTAACCATTTGCTTCTTAGGAATGACCTAAGAATGCGCAGAGGTGGGAGGGAGTGCATATTTGTTGGTTAAAGCTCCCAAATCTAGAAGGGAGCCTTGCTTGAACAGATGGTACAAACGGGTAATTCCACATTCGTGCCAGTGACAAAGGACTTAGCATGTGCCTATATTTCTCCCAGATTCGTAAAAGTACAATTAGGTACGATGAGTGGGAAGGTAGCTTGGGGCAGTGTTGTTTAGGTAACCAAAGAAGTGGATAGTTGCTTTTTCCAGTGGAACCCATTGTGGTTGGGTCTTTTGAAGAAATGTTTGAAAGGCTGTAGCTAGAATAGGTGCATGGTAATAGAGTTATACATTGGGTACCGAAAAATCTCCCTGCCTGGTGTGTGCTTGCGTGACCCTCTAGGCTTGCCCCCCACCCAGATAAATCTGTTCATGTTAGAGTGGATCTTTTTGAAAAAGGAGAGGGGGAGGGCTCTTGGGAGTGTCCTGAATAGATATTGCAATCTTAGGAGTATAGATATCTTAAACGCTATCATTTGTTTTGTTCATGTGAGAAATAGAGGGGTAAATTTTTGCAGTAGTTGCTGACATTATCTCCGTACTGCTATATAATTTGCAGGATTTAGGTCTGCAGGGTTCTTAGTAATGGTTAGCCCCAGATATTTAATGTTCTCTTTTCTCCAGTTGAAATCATAGGTAGATTTCAAAATTTGCAATGTTTGTGTCGGAATATCTATGGGTATAGCCTGTGTTTTGCTGGTATTCAGTGACTAATAAGACACTAGCCCATAAGACTTGATAAGCGGACTCAGCGCTGGTAGGGATTCTGCAGGGTTATTAACATCATCCGTGAATCCACTAATTTTTATTTATTTGTCCAATATCTTTACTCCATGTATTTGTGAGTGTGCCCTGATGAGCTGCAGGAGTGGTTCTAAAGCTAGCACATATAGGAGTGGGGATAGTGGGCAGGCTTGCCTCATACAATTTGAAACCTGAAATGAGGAGGATAGGATAAATATAAAAACAAACTGGAAACAAACTGGAAATGAGAACCTTAAGAAGAGCCCATATATAGAGGGCAAAATTGTGCGCTGGGGGGACCAGCCACGAGAGTTGGGGGTGGTGGCACTTTACATGTCCTACTGTTGTTAAAGGTTGGTTATCTGTATGCATGCAGGGTTTCATAACAGTTTTGTTTTTTTTGTTAATATTGTGATCCTGGATTGCAAATAGCATGGTCCTCTCTACGGTATAAATATGCACAGTATTTTGATTTAACATAAATTCAGGCACTTTATTGTTGAAATTCACTCCGGAGACAGCAGCAAAACAAAATAAATAATAATATAACAGAAATCCCTGCAAATAAAATCCTAGCTCATCTGAGCTCTTACTAACAATCAATTCCCTATCTATCGAGGATTAAACTTAAACAAAATACAGGTTTCACCAACCTTTCCTGTTAGCAACTTTTTTTATCTCCTTCGGAGGCTGGAAGCAGCAAGCTTCCCTGTCACTGAGTACTGGAGTGCAGATTGCAGAGAGCACTCCAGTACTCAGTGACAGGGAAGCTTGCTGCTTCCAGCCTCCAGGGAGAAAAAAAAAGTCTCTCTTTCCTGCCTAGCAGGGAGCGATTTATTTCCCTTTCTGCAGCTGATTACTTGCAGCTGAGAAAATGGGTTGCAGACAGTCTAAATTCCCAGCCTGGACATTATTTCTCCCAGTTACTTGTGGAGCCTACCCTACTCTCCGAATGCTCCACCCCAGGGGCCCACATCTAAACATTCATTTAAGTTTCATACAACACATACTCCCCTGTGGTTAAATGTCATATGCCTCTCTAAACAATTTAGCAGAAATATAAACTCCCTCACAAACAACACCATTTACCTTATCACAATAGCTATAAACTAGAATTTTAGAATTTGTGGTGGTATCAATGTCCTGGCACAGGCAAAGTGTATGCGGTGTGGGTACCTGAACAGCAAATACTGATAGTGATTGGGCAGCGTCAAATATAGCCGGCACACACAAATACACTTGGAACATAAAGTAACAGCCTGCCATGGTGTTTGTTAGCGGATTAAGCAGGAGTTAAGTAAACCTTCTTTTAAACTTGGGTAACCCTTCTCAGGCCCAGTAAAAAAAAACCTTTCGCAAACCCATTAAATATGAACTAAAAGCGAGTAGTAAACATACAATACCCAACATGAATAAGGTTGATGATCTATAAATGAGTCCATTCTTGTGTCAGCCTCAGGACTTTTGAACCGCCTTGCCTCTGCGGTTTCTGTATCGGGATACCCCAGTGATGCAGTTTGCGGGTTCCATCTTTTATTGATGTGATGTGACTCCTTGGCACTGAACAAGGAACTTGGCTGGATACCCAAATCTATACTTAACATCTTGAGCCCGTAGTGATGTGGGCTTTGTTGTTGGTTTTTTTTGCCTTTTATTTCATTCTCACA